GCTCAGGGGGGACCTTCTGGCTCTGCAACTCCCTGACAGGAGGGGGGAGCGAGGTGGGAGTTGGGCTCTGCTCCCAGGGAACAAGGGACAGGATGAGAGGAACCAGCCTCAAGCTGTGCCAGGGGAGGGTCAGGTTGGACATCAGGAGGAATTTCTTCATGGAAAGGGTAGTCAGGCATGGGAAGGCGCTGCCTAGGGAGGTGGTGGATCCCCCATCCCTGGAGGTGTCCAAGGAGCAACTGGATGTGGCACTCAGAGCTCTGGGCTGGACGACAAGGTGGGGGTCGGGCACAAGACTCGATGGTCTTGGAGGGCTTTTTTAATCATGATTCCGTGATTCAGTGATTCACTGATCTAGGAGGAAGCTGTATCTGCGACACACTGATCCCGTGGGGGATTATGTTCCAGGATGAGGCAAGAGCTGATTAAACAGCAATTCCAAATTCACTTTTGAACAGACTCGCTCATTAAGGAAGAGCGAACAGCATTAAGCAACGTCTTACAAGGGGTTTTCTGTGACTCAGCTCTTTACAGAAGCAATGGCTGTAGCAACCAGGGCCTGATATCCATCAGTGGATGCTGCAGATGGATTCACACAAGGCCTGACCAAATCAGGCAGTGGTAGGAAATGATGCACCTCACCAGAGGCATTGAGTGGGCATAATTAATTATCTGGTAGGAGATATCACAGTCACAAGCACAACACTGGACCACAGTGACACGGACTGCCTGTATAAAAAGGTGTATCTTTTTAGGCATGTCTGGGGTAGGATTTTAGGGAAATTAAGCCATAAATAGCAATCCAAAACTGCTGGAGTGGTTTTGGTTTTGAATCTTTCAAAGAATGCTCTTGTTTGGCAGAGAGGGGAAAGCAGGAATTATCAGTTTTATTCTTTACTAAGCACAGGGACACTCAAAACACATCATGGTTGGTACTCAAGTCAGCAGCAGAGTCCATCTTCCCAGGAGGAGGCAAAGCTGGACTTGCCCAGTTCACTTTATCATGAAGTCATGGAGTTTTAAGACCTCCTTCTGCCTGGGGCCTGTCTACAGGTTTTCAAAGATTTTAGATGTTTATCACTCAGATGTCCAAGAACAATTGTATGAAGCGACTTTATATTTAAAGAAAATCCTCATTTATTATAGTTAAAATTCCACAAACATGTTAAAGAGGTTTTAGTTGTTTTCTTTTTTTAAAGCCGGAACTGCACCATTTTAAATCACCACAACAGAAGATAAAGCAATAATTCTTTTGCCTCTGCTGCTCCTCTTCAGGAAACAAACAAACAAAAAGACACAGTATTTAAAGGACAATAATTAACAGAAGTATCACATCAAGAGTTTCTGTTTTAGTAAGCTAAGCAAATTTTGCATATAGCACAACTCCTCTACCTCATCCACAGATTTGGCATGAAAAATATAAATCCCCTATAGTTTAAACAAGAGCTTCTGTTGCCACAATCCAATCCACAGTCCTTCAGTGAGGTCAAGAACAGACACAGCTTTTAAGGTGAAAGTCTCAATTATTCCACTAGCACTTAGTGAAATTAAGATGCTAAGATACATTTACCTTCCATAGATAGGTTTATTCATAAGTTATTTAACCTAAACTCTAATTACACTAAATAAATGGTAGACGTAAAGTAGTTCCAGCAAGAAAAATACAATAACTTCAGCTTTCAAATATTTTAAACTAATAACGAACTAGATGCCATTTTAGTGGCAAAACAGACTCTCTCCTGCAAGCAATAAAGGTTTCTATTCAGCTAAAATGTGCAAAGAAAACAAGTCTCAGAGAGCGAGAAATATCAGCAGTTCATATTGGACACAGGGGAATAAAACCCTTAGGAATTAACTCCTCTAATCCGTTTTCTTGTCATAAGCTCCTGTGGATCTCTTTGCAGCAATTCCATTTGCAATGCTGTTGCTTTCAAACTGCAAATAAAAGACAGTGCCATTAATGGATGCCAAAAAGAGGACTTCACACCCAAACAGCTGGAGACAAAAATGGGTTTTGGGGGCAAGGCCAGTGAAGATCCATGAAGAAATCTGCAGCAGGAACCAAAAGTGGTGGTGTCTGTGCAGATTTGCAAATAATAATCCCTTCAGAGGGAAGAGGGGAAATGAGAGCAGAGACAACATTCACAAGTCTTTTAATTTTGACAGAAGAAATAAATAATAAATGCACAATTTACATGCACTAAACATCTTTCCCCATTATGACTGGCAGAGCTGGCTGAAGAGAGGGTTTGGGTTTTTTTTTAATTCTGCTTCATACATCTGGTGCAAATTACCAAATATTTGACTTTTTTCCCTCTCTCAAAGAATAGCCAGTCCTTAAAAAAAGCATAAATTAATTAAGCAGGAAACAAGAGCAATTCCTATCTCTCCAAGGCCAGGAGCTGTCTTGAAGCCACTATTTCTAGCTGGCTCAGTAGTGGCAAGTCCTGTCCATAAGAAAATCTCCCCAAAAAGGTCTGTAAAAACACCCAACTATTAACCCTTCTGTGGTGCCCACCCTGAACTACCCCTGAGTTTCCCTGGTTAGCTAAGAGAATTAATCTTACTTTATAGCTTCCAGATTCATACTCCAGGCCTCTTTTTGCAGCTGAAGGTGCTGGAGGATCCCCAGAGCTGCCTCCTTGTCCTTGTTTTGTGTCTGTGGGATCTTCCACAGCTTTCTTGGGCCACACACGTTTGATGAAGGGGGCGATCACGGGGTAGATGTACGGCTCCAGGAATTTCTTGTAGACCCAGAGGAGGACAGGAATGACAATGCAGGGAATGCACACCATGGCTGCCCCTTGCCCTGTGACAAAGGTGGTGAGGGAAAAAAACAGCTCGGAATGAGAATGTTGTACGTCATGATCCAAGAAACCATAGTAAATAAAGGCTGTAGTTGATATTAGGACATAGAGTCTTCTTTAATTATAAATTAGCTGTTAAAAATGCTGCGTGTTTTAACATTACAAAATCCTCAAGAAGGGGAACATTCTTCTCATTTTAACAAAAAACCCCAGTAATTTGTTACTAATTCATCAATCTTACAGCTGCAACTCAGAAAGACTAATTCAGAAAATGAGAGTCTTTGCTAAAACCACACAAAAACAGTTTAAGCAGCAAGATATTAGCCCAGTTCTTGCTGTAGGAAAGAGTCCAAAGGGTTTGTTTTTCTTAATCTCTTTTTAATTAAAGGGAAATTAAACAGCAGCACTCCAAGTCATCCAATGGTCTGCTACCACTGAAAGGCAGGACCGTGGGAGAAGGAAGAAAATCCCAGTGAGGATTTGAGAGAAACAGAATGTGGGTTATTTCCTTCCTCCTGCCCAAGAGGAATCCCTTGATCCCACATCAATCCCATAAAATTAACTATTAGAAAATAAAACATCCCCTCTCTCTGTAACCCACAGAGAAGTCCTCAAAATTGGCAGCCTGGAGACTGTGCTAAAAAAAAAAAAAAAAAAAAAGGCAGAAAACCAAAGCAGAGGGACAGAGAGGTACGACTGGGAGAGGAAGCAGTTAAGTGGGATTAGAGCTGTCCCTGCCAGTGCTGACGAGCAATACATTAGACACACTCTGCTGCTACAGAGCTTTGCCCTTCACATTCCTCCTTTCTAGGCTGCTGACATCTCAGTTCTCGCATTAAGAAGCAAAACAAAAGCTTTCCAAGATGGACAATGAACAGGCAGACGTGGACGCTTCGCTAGGGAAAAGTTTTAAGCTATCCTACAGATTTTAAGCCCCGTGAAAAAAGAGAATATCGATTTCCAGTTGACTACTTCCAAGTTCAGTTCTGGCTGCTTCAAACATAGTTTAAATCTGCTCTCTGAAGTCTAGGAGGAATCTTAAATTGAGACAACATGACTCAGGTATTCTCTTCACCAGAACTTCCTAGACACTAAATTTCCAGCAAGATGTTGAGGATTCATCCAGCTGTTGAATAAAGTGGCTGGAGGGAACACCCCAGGATATAGAATTATCACAGAACCACAGAATACTTTGGGTTGGAAGGGATTTTAAGGATCATCCAGTTCCACCCCCTGCCATGGGCAGGGACACCTTCCACTAGAACAGGTTATTCCAACCTGGCCTTGGACACTTCCAGGGATCCAAGGGCAGCCACAGCTTCCCTGGGCAACCTGTGCCAGGGTTTCCACCATGCTCACAGCCACGTATCCCTTCCCAATATCCCATCTAACCCTGCCATCTGGCAGTGTGGAGCCATTCCCCCTTGTCCTGTCACTCCCATGCTCTGTCCCAAGGAAACAG